CCTGGATAGTTCCAGGCACACACAGGCTATTCCCCATTCAAATCCTGAGTTTTGCTTGGGCTGATTTCCCCCCCCCCCCCCCCCTCTCTTCTTTTTTCAGGGGACCCCCCCCCTTTCCCGGTTCAAAAAACCCCAAAAAAAAACCCCGGCCGTTTGTTGTTTTTTCCCCCCCCCCCCCCCCCCGAGGTTGCTTACATGGTTGGGGATCAGGGCCTATTGATTCTACAGGGCTGACTTGCAAATACAAATCTATATGGGGGTGGGAGAAAAAAGGGAGGGGGGGGATGGATATGAATGCTGCCGCTAGAAATTCTCTAAGGAAGCCCTGAGAATTGCCTTTAGATTTTTTTTCTTTTTTCTTTTTGGTTTACAAAACTCTTGGGCTTTTTAGATCAGTCTTTTTGTTTGCCTTGTTTCTTGCTATGTCTGAACTTAACCTTTGTTACTCCTGGCTTTTTAAATGTAACCCCCTTCTCTGATTGCTGGTGTGTGTGCGTGTGTGTCTCTATTCTGCCTCCACGCCATTTCCAGTTGTGTAAATTGTTGCATGTGTTTTTCAAGCAGAGTGACTGAAGTCTGATGTCCACCTACCCTCCAAAATATAAAAGCTTGGGACAGCTTGACTTGTATGAAAATGGGGGTGGTAAGGGAGCGTATTTAACCCTGTCATGTAACAACTTTTCCCCCCATCCCTCAATCTCCATTTAGGCCAGGTGTCTGTCAAAAAAAATTAAAAACCCTGTGCTTGCTAGAATCTAAATGACTTATTACTGTTAATTAGGTATTACAGTAGCACCTAGAGACCTATTGAGCTAGGAGCTGTGTATATATGTGTGTGTGTGTGTGTGTGTGTGTATGTATATATATATAATGAGGACCCATCCCTGCCCTGAAGAGCTTAATTTAAATGGACAAGACAGTATTGGAGGGGAAGCTAAGACTTGTCTGAGGTCAGGCAGCAGGTCTGTGACAGATCTGGGAATAGAACGCAGGTTTCTGCAGTCTCTGGCGTCTCCCGTGTTAGCCTGCATTGCCTGTCAGTTTGCCTCACTAAGATCCATCTTATTAAAACAATGGGGTCAATATCGCAATCCAAAAAGAAATGGGAGAATTTAGGGTTCATGAAACTGAAGAACAAGTCGTGCTGTCTGGAGCCAAGCATGGAATAAGCAAGGCTCGCTTTCAGCACCCCGCAACTGCAAAATCCTTTGCTCCCCAGCTTTATGGTCGCCCCCCACCGCATCTCAGTCCTGTGCTTGGTCTCAACTTGTCCTCTGCAAACTCAAAACCTTTGCTGGAGGTTGCTTCTTGAGAGGCAGAGGTCTGACGCAGGAAGGCGATTGTGTGTCAGGATTGCAGAGTTGTTACTGTGCTGCTTCGTGGCTAATATTAGTCCGTCCTGTTAATGAGACCACAAACTTCTAATCAGGGCAGCTGGTGGGAATATTAAATGGAATTTATTGACAGGCACATTCTCTTTAAGATTTGTTTTGGCAGTGCCTAGCACAACGGGGCCCTGATTCCCAATTAAGGCCCTTGGTTGTTACTGTAATATAAATAACTTACTGACCTGGAGGCTCTAGCAATTCAAATGACCATGGTGTTTTTCTTCTTTTCCTGTCCTCGACTGTAGCTTAGAGTTGCTGTGTGTAGTTAGAAAGCTGCTTCGAGCTGCTCCAGAGGTGGCTGCCCTACACGGATGGATGTAATGATACGTTCTGTATTTTAGTTGGTATTCATAGTCCTAATTTCTGTGGTTTGGCTGGTCTTACAGCTCCTAGCAATTTCTTTCACCAAAAGCTGAGCAGGTGCAGTTTTCCCCTGAACTCAAATTATTTTAACTACAAGCTAACGTTGTAAGCAGCTTGTTTAAAATCTGTTCTGACAGATATTTATTTCCCCTTGTATCTTCAACAACAACAAAACTTTAGCATTCAAAAGGATACTTTCCAACGTTTTGTAATTTTGTGTGTGTGTGTGTGTATCTAATGAATAAACTGACGGTACATGCGCCCTTCAGAACTTGGAATGAAAGGGAATACAGTTTAGTGGCTAGGGCAGGGTTCTAAGAGTCACTGCTAGTCATTTGCTGTGTGATCCTAGGGAAGTCGCTTCTCTCTGGGCCTCAGTTTTTTGTATCTGTGAAATGGGGATAATATCCATTCAAGAAGGTGGGGTTACAATTTTAAGTAGGCCCTGGGGCCATCTTTCATTCTGCATTTCCATTCATTCCATGGTTTCTGGTCCATGACTGTGCCTTGAGGCACCACGGCAATACAAATGGCTTTAATTGTTCGAATTGTATTTTTTTGGAGATCCCTGGGCTACTTCCCCACTGCCTCCTGTCGCTGGTGTGTGGGTGGGTTGATTTCTGACTCCATCGGGATGGTAGTATTCTGCACTGGTGCCAATGATGACAATAGACACAGGACAAACACCACACTCCCTTGTTTGGTGTCAGGGTGTGCATGTGTTCGTGAGCCTTGCGGTATTTGCTCTTAGTGCTTCTGCTCCGAGACTATGAACGAATCTCGGATTTATTTCTTTTATTAAGTTTCTAGCCCTCATGGTTGCACCGACAAGATTGAAAACATGAATTCTAAAGGCTAAAAAACATCAGAAGGCCCCAACCCTTATGTAGGTGTAAATCCCATGATTTTTGTGGGGCCTGACTCTCAGGTTTTTGGACACCTCAGGCGGGCGACATCGGTACAGGCAAGACCAAAAGCCACTTTCTAACACTCACCCACGTGATCAATGTGGGCTATCGATGGAGTTCTCTGTTCTCTCCTGCAGCTCGCTCAACCGTGCCATAGCAACAAACAAATTCTGGGAGGGAGGAAATGGCTTCTCTTGCTTTAATGTGTGGGAAGACCGAAAGGGGAGGGGAACGGACACAGTGGGCAAAAAAAAATACATTTAAAAACCAAAAAGGCAAAGCAACCTGCCTATGCTAAAGGAGGATCTGCAGCGTCTCTTTAAAACCAGACAGCCGTCCCATTTTTCCCCATGGCCTGATGCAGGGTGTCTTGCTCCATGAGAGGGAGATCAAGGCAGATTTCCCCCCCCCCGTTCTGGCTTTTGATTTATTTTTTTCCTCACCTGATGTAATTTTTAAACCACGTCAGTATACTTGCAAGAAAACCCCTCCCCCAGCGTTGTTGATCTTCTGAGTGTTCCTTAAATGGATTCAAGGTAAACTGAAACCAGTTGTCCACTCCAGGTCATTACGCCGTGTCTGTGCATGTGCTATGTGGCTAGGCAGCATGACACAACAGAGCTGTCCATCGACTTGCAAAACCCTAACTGCCTGCTATGGCTTATTTTTAGCTGAATTCAACTGACACCATTTTTTTTTCTTTTGAGCACCTGCTCTCATGGGAAGTCAGTGGGGTTAGCAGCTGAAGTGCCAACATGCTTGCTTCTAGCACATCAGACTTCTGAAACTATTTTTAAAATGAGTCCAGCAGTGCCCAAGATCCAGGCCCCAGTGTGTCAGGTGCTGTACAGACACGTCATAAGATAGTCTCTGAAGCACTTACAGTCTAAAGGGACATGACAGCTAACGGGTGGGAGGGGAAGTGGCTTACCCAAAGTCACACAGTAGGTCAGCGGCTAATCTCTGGAATCCCTATCCACTAGACAACACTGCCTTGCATAGGGTGTGGTTTTAATTGGCTTCCACAGATATCACCAGGCCTTTGCCTCTGACTCTCATTTAATTCAAGGTCCCTTCCCCTTTACATTCTGATGTGGCTTTCAAGATCCATTAAATGGATCTGTTCTGGCTGGGGGTTCAGGAGGGAACCCCTTACTTAGAAAATATTTATTTTGACGCTACGTCCATCTCCATTAAGAAAATGATCCATGGAGGTCAAACGGCAGGCAGCCTGTGGCAACACCCCTTTCACTTGATGCACCGCAGCCAGGGATGAAAAGTGTGTGTGTGTGTGTGTGTGTGTGTGTGTGTGTGTGTGTGTGTGAATTGTCTCGAGACCTGCGCCTCTACCCATTGCATAGGTGGGGGGGCCTCTTTGGAAAGCAGTTTTTCACTGGGTACGTTTGTCCAATCCACAAGAACAAATTTCCACACTGGCTTCCCAAGCCCCCTTGCCCGCTTTCATAAGCGTGGTTAGAAATTCATTTTGCCCAGGGTATAATTGCACGGGAATATAGTGGAAACCCGTACAAGAGATCACTTGATGTAGGCCCCCCAAAATACCTTCCCACCCCCAAAAATACAGTACACCTCTGCTTTAGCTTTATTAGAAGGCAATGGATTTCCCCCCCACCCTCAGTCCCTCAATGAGCAACTTCTTACTACAAGATCCTTTGTATTGCCAGAAGGTGTTTGGGTGAAATTAAGCTAATCGTACAAAAGAGACTTCTAGTTGCTCTGGTTTTTGATCCGTGCCTTGATCAAAGTTGGCAACTCATAGCAAAAGAAGAGAGCCAACCACCAGAGAAGTGTGACTTACAAGCTCATGGTTACTGTAATGACTCGTGTTCCAGTTGTGATCTGTCTCTCTATGAACGGAGCTCACCACCCTTTTCTTGTAAACGGAGAGGGCGGAGGAATGAGCAGAGACTTCTCAGCCTTGTTTGTGCCTTTCCCGCCGTTGCGATCACGCCCCCCCTCACTCCCCCATTGGTAACTGCTGTTGTTGTTTATGTTGCAGTGGTGCCTAGAGGCTTGGGCTGAGATCGGGGGGGCCCCATTGGGCCAGGTGCTGCACAAACAGATAAGACAGTCCCTGCTCTAAGCGCTTATGATAAAATGCAAGAGCCGTAACAGACGAAGTGACTTGCCCAAGGTGTCCCAGCAGGTCAGTGGCAGAGATGGGAATAAGAATTCTGCTCTCCTCACTCCTGTTTCCATTGCCCTGTCCTCCAGACCATGGTGGGAGCCCTAGTATGGGCCAGTGCTGCTGGTGTTCGAGCC